ATATGAAGTGTATGTTCCACAGGTAGAGTTAGTCCAGTTCTGTAATTGTGGATCTGACAGAGGCAGATGAATTATAGAGAGGATTGTTGCGACTGTTCAATCCTGTTTTGTTTTGTTGTTGTCCAAGTGTCGATTTTAGCAAAAACCCTTGAGGAACTTGGAAGCATTGATTAAAGGAGGCCTTGTGCTGATGATTAGTTCTGGAGCAGACCTTCTAGCACTCTGTGTATTAGGCTAATCCAGGGCTAATCGCATTAAAGGCGCACTACAATGGACGACAGGAGACACTCTGCTGCTGTGTTTCTGTTGCTCCCCCGAGTACCCTGCAAGTTCCCTCCAAACGCGTTTCATAACAAGAACTCAGAGTGGCGGAGGAGGCGTATTGTTCGTTCTTTAATGAAGTCTTACTAAATGACCGTAGCAGTTGTGAAATGGCTCTCAGAAAGGTCAGCGTCACAGCTCCAAACACGGACAATGAGGGTCTGTTTGGCCAATGCACGCTCTGAATGATTCAAGTCCAGTTCATTGATTTGAAGCAAAAAGCCTGAGGTTGCACACAGTGAGCAGCACTAATGACCGACCTTATCATAGAATCATAGAATAGAATTAAATTGGACTTCATTCAAAATTAAATTAAAGTATATAGATATACAGTTAAACGTAGCTTCCTGGCTGGCTCTGAACCCATTTACTGTTGAGGCCTCCTGAGTTGTTGTTCTTTTTATTTAATAGATATCAAATCTATCACTTCTTGTGTAATATGTTACTTTTTAGACAGCAAACATAAACATATTCAGAGTCGCTGTCAGAAAGGAGAAGTAAATCAGAAATTAAGTACATAAACTACGACAGCTTGTTACATATATGCTCTGAGTTAAATGAGACATAGCTCACAGCCATTACTGTCAAGGCTATCAAAACGTTAAACTGTGAGACAGATCCACTTCCCTGCTTCTTCCACATGGTAGAGAAGGAGTCCTGTACTAGAGGCCAACGAACCTCCTCCTCTAAATAAATAATTCCTAAGTCTGCACTCAGATGACGCACACTCCAACTACAAGTATACAGTATTTATCTCTGAGGAGCTCCACCTTAAGAGATATAGAACTACAGAGATTACACCAATTCAGACTGTGGGATATCAATTGTACTGAAATGATTTAAGAGAGAGTACTGTACTAGTAGTCTACATTTTCTACCAGAGCCCCTGAAGTCCAGTCTTAGTCATCTTTTGGACATCATGGTCACATGAGTAAAATGTGACTCTGTCTTGTCTCAGCCTTGAAGTTGTGATGACAAAACTGTTCCTTCCTTTGACTTTGGCTTATATTCTCTCCAGACATAGTAAAGTGTTAAGCTACCAAGTGGTGCATGAAAATACCTTTTGTACTGTCTCTTTTTGATTTGTTTATAACCGACTATACAAGAATGATGTCTTCACCAAATGAGTCACGTAACAACAAGATTTATTGTCTCGCCTACGTGTTATCTAAATCATATTTCTTGTATCTGTGTTATCTGAGGTGTTGTAATGTGTAATGAGGTGAATGGGTTGTCCTCGTACCGTGAACTTCTATCACATCCTAAGATAACTTTATTTCAGATCATCAAATATCTGCACTTTCACAGTCGTCAAACGGTTTGTTGAACAAAATCCCCCTGCATTCTCTAATGATCAACAATTACACATTACCTCAATATAATATGGGATACATTTCTATGTTAAGAAGCAGCAGGACCCATCCAGCCATCCAGCACTGTGTATATTATTAGCAGTTAAAAGTTGCAAAACCACTGTAATCAGAGCATAATACTTATTACTGACTCAAAATACTACATGGCCCTGGTCATGTGCCAGAATCTGCTTTGTGCTTTTGTAATTTTAAGTCACTCTATGTCCTAGTTAAGGTGCCAGGATGGAGCATTAGGTACAGTGTAATCCACTGCTATAGTAAGTTGTAAGTCTCACTTCATGACAACAGCACTGTTGTGCTTTTCCACCGGACTGTCAGCAGCGGAGCTAATCACCTTAGAAGGAGTATTAGACGGTGCACTGTGTGTCAACTCTGTTCAAGATCATTCATACTGACACGGTGGTTTTAATACTGACCGTGTTAGAGAGGATTATTCAAGTTTTTTTCCCAGAAGGTTTCAATGGGATTTTTTTTTTTTTTAAATTTAAAGCATTTCTCATCTTTTAATACATTTTCCATTGTGTCATTTGTGGATGGAGGGGAAGCTTTTAAAGAACTCTTATTGTAAACATTTTACATCACCACATTTTAGTATTGTTTGTTTCCATTGACACATATTCTGTTGTTTCATAAAATATTTTTACAGTATTTAGCGAAAAGTGCTCAAACTAGTACCTGAACAGACAAATCAATAAGACAGGATCTGGTGGGTTGCTGCACTTCATTAAAAGCTTTAACTACAAACCTGTTGCTGTTGTTAGTGTTCCTCTTCAGTCTTTATAACTAAGTTTACACTTTATTAGTTTTATGAATACACTTTATTCTCCTTTTTTGTATCATGTCTTCTTTGTCTTTTTTATTTCCCTCCATCCCTTTCCCTCCTCCTGTAAAGAACTTGAAAAGTGCTATATAGATAAAGTTATCTTGCTTGCTTTAGTATAAGATAAGATAAGAGTATATGTAGTATGTTGGTGAAATCACACTCTAATTGTCCCTCTTTGCTCTCTGGTTAAAGGCCATTTAACGATCAACATCACTAATGCATCATGGATGTCTGTATTTATCATCCTCCTTTTTGCTTTTCTTACTCCTTTTTCAGCCAGAAACTTCAATGTCCAGAAGTCTGAGGCCATGCTGCGTAAGGTAACATGTCCAACTCTGTTTATTGTAACTGCAAGTGTCACACTCTTGTAGAAATTCAATACACTACATATCATGTACAACCGCAAAGCCTTCTCTTTCTGTGACTAATTTGTGTGTGTGAAAGTGCAGTTAGTACCAGCACAGGCTGTTCAGCCCATCAGCTCAGGAGTGGCTGCAGATTAGAGAGGAGCAGTGTGGTAATGGTTCGCTATGGGGAAACTGAGTCATCACGGCAGCCTGAGGGGATAAGACATAGATGAAAGGGATTAAATGAGTACTTAAAATGACAGAATACTAGGCGTCCCGGTATCTCACCTTGTAGAGCGTGCACCACATGTTAAGACTGATTCCTCAGTGGCCCTGGTTTGAATCCCGGCTAGGGCCTTTCTGCAAGTCATCCTCTCTCTTCCTGCCCTTCCTGTCACTATCTATTGCGCCGATCGAAATTAAGGATGTCCCATTGTCCCAAGGATAATAAACATAGCACCTGGGACAGATTGGTACTTTTTCAGTGTTGAAGGGGACGTGCCCTCCCCAAAGAATGTGTGGTTACGCCTAAGCTATGGTTTAAGAAACGGTGTCTGACACAATTCAAATAAAAAAAAAGTGAGGTGGCGTCACACACATGCTTATACACTCAAAATCCAACACAGAGAGTGTTACCAAATTGGTGACTTTTCAGACTTGCTTACATCTTTATTTCTAAAAAGTGACTATAGACTAATTTAATAAGTCATTCAGACCATCAGGGATAAAGCAAGAAATATATTCCGTTATATTGTGATTCCTTCCCATGGCAGCTGCTCAGAGTAATTGCTCTTCTGCCAACAGCAACGGGGTCTCTCCCACTCCTCTTGCGTGCGTATGTACATTTCAGTCCCGATATACCAGTCACTTGCACTGCAGTTTGCACACATGCATATATTGATCAAACAAAACAAACAAGAAACAGTAACACAACCACTGACTTGAAGAATAATGGAAGCTGATTGGGGCCAATCGGGTGATTACAAGTTTTTATTCAGATATAAGTCCATGGAACAACTAGTAAAACCTCTGCGGTGGACCAGAGTAATTTCGAGAACCTCTCTACGTCACTATCCAAATAAAGCAAAGTGCCAAAAAAACAAATGAACAAACAAACAAAAAACGATGTACAGGCACCTGACTTATATCTGCATGAACTGATTTATTTTCCACTATTGGGGCAGAGGCCCTCTACAACGAGACACACAGTCCTGACATATTAACCTCTAGCTAGCTATCTAACCTCTACTTTCTAATAACACGTCCACCAAACTACATGGTAGAAACTGCCATTAGCAGTGCCTATTAGTGACATATTAGCAATAGCATTGTTGCTTTTCTATATGAGCCTAATGCAAAGCCAACAGCCAGCTCTCAAATAATGAATAATAAATAAAATAGATAAAATGTATCTGAACTACATCTACACCACAACCAGCTTGTTCAGGTATCTCCATTATTCCTGTAGCTAGTAGAAATGATTGCCAGCTAGGCGGTAAAATGTAAATGTGTATGTGAAAATGACCTGTGGGCCAATTAGAAACATTTCTTTCCTATTTGTTGGTGTACTTGTGGTTGTAAGCTGTTGGCATGTACACGGCGGTATATAACTGATCCCCTTCCTGCTGATGGGGCAGGTTTTACATCACCTACTGTCTGAAACCTCCTAAGCCACTTAAATCACTACATTGTGCTTGGGCAGATCTGCCACTGTACGCGCAGTCAATAAAAGGTTTTAATGCACTTACTGTATATAATGAATCCTGTATGATTAACATGTACCCGTCTTTTCTTACAGCATTTGGAGTTCAGGAAACAGATAAAAGTAGACACAATAATAGCAGAATGGCGTCCACCGGAGGTAAAAACCTTATAAACCATAACCTCTCTATGTTCGGTGTGCTTAAGAATAATTTTAGGGAATATATTTCTCAAATTAAAAGTTTTGTGATTTATCTTCTTGACAAATATTCCTATACATGACTAAAGAAAGCAGTGGTTTGACATTTAAAATGACTGCTGTTTGCAGGTGATAGAGAAGTATCTGTCCGGAGGGATGTGTGGTTATGACCTTGAGGGCAGTCCCATATGGTATGATGTCATCGGACCTGTGGATCCCAAAGGCCTCTTCCTGTCTGCCTCCAAGCAAGACTTCATCAAGTCCAAGATCAGAGACTGTGAGGTTCTGCAGCAGGAATGTAACCTGCAGTCGCAGAGGGTAAGAGCAGAGGACGGAGATCCAGTGATCGGGTTTGCACTTGATACTAAAATGTGTCTTTGTCTGAGGTGTAGTTGTGTTTATTGAAATGGACTGATCTTGCCTAGCTCTGAGCCAAGAACACTTGCCCACCCTAACAAACATCCTGGAGTTGAGACACACAAGGAGTTGAGAGATTCATCTATTGGGCTAGGACATAATAAAAACTGATTCACAAATTATGATCTCTTTTTGGACTTTTTGAAACTGAAGTTCTTTCAATTGATATATCTTAAGATAAAGAAACACAATATACAACTTTATATTGATAAATAAGCACTATATGGTTATATTGACATATTGTTCATGGATAAGTTTATCCAGTTTAGTTTTATCAGTTATTTTCAATGCTATTTCATGATATGTAGTTGTCCTGCCCATGTTTTCCTTTAATGTAAAAGTACTGTGCATAGGTTACAGATTGCTCATTTAAATCATCATTTGTTGTTATTTTGTCCATATTGGTCTGTATTTTTTATGTTGCTAATTTTGCCTGTGACTTATGTTATATGGATTTATCTCTCAGTTTCATTACATTACATTAATTTTTGCAGAAACCTTTATACAAAGTGACTTAGATTAAATATGTATAGGTTATTTTACAGTTTCACAAATTTAATTTTCCTGTCTTTCTGTCACTGTTTTCAACCAGCTTGGGAGGAACGTGGAGTCAATAACTATGATCTACGACGTTGAAGGTCTGGGTCTGAAACACTTATGGAAGCCTGCTATAGAAACATATGGAGAGGTACAGAGACACACACATACATTTTAAACATAGCGCTCACACAACTAAGACATGAAGCAGACTAAAAGGTTGGTGGACATACAGCATTATGTTCCTCTGTGTCACCAGATCCTCCAGATGTTTGAAGACAACTACCCAGAGGGCTTGAAAAGGCTGTTTGTCATTAAAGGTGAATTTGTCCTTCCTCCGTGTATGCATATTATACTAAACAAATGATCATCCAGATGAGGGGATTCCACGTGCGTTCCTGCAATCGTCGTAGTTTATTTCATCATCACATCCTGTTTTGGAAGAGTTTTGATTATTGCTGGTCAACGTTTGGTTAACACCTTTAAGTTTTCCTCTTGCAGCCCCCAAACTCTTTCCCGTGGCCTACAACCTCGTCAAGCACTTTCTGAGTGAGAACACAAGACATAAGATCTGTATCCTCGGGGGTAAGACACTACACAACCCTGCATGTTATTTTGGAGAATATATCCAATTCACCCCAATCCAAACACTCTGACCTCCCTCTCCTTTCTGAAGAAATGACTGTTGTTGTTTCTCTGGTTTGACAGCTAACTGGCAGGAGGTTTTACTGAAGTACATTGACGCAGAGCAACTGCCGGCGATATATGGGGGTAAACTGACGGATCCTGATGGAGACCCTCGCTGTCGGACCAGGGTGAGTCTGTGAATCAGCCAACCAAACTGCACACACCCATGGGTGCTGTGTTTTGGTATCAAGGAGGGCTGATGATGAGTTGGAAGAGACAAGTCTCTGTTTCAGATGCTGCTTAATTCATTTGAGATACTATTAACATTGGAGATGAATTCTGTTTTCATAATAATTTGTGTCCTTGCTGAGCCTTGCACCAGTGAATTTATAATACTGTAAAGTCTGCCGTGTTAATTAGTTCCTGTTCCTACCGCTCCTTATGCTTAGATTATTTTATTTTTATATTATTTCATATGAGTTACTATTTTCCACTATTATTGAGTGTTCCACCTGGCTAAAGATTTCTTAGTTTGAGCAAGCCGTCTGCTGTCAGGTTTTCTCCACGAAAAGTTATTTAATCCTAAATTCAACCAAAAGCAACAATGAGCACAGAAATAATAATGTAGGTTTATAAGCTGGTATTTTCCCCCCAAATCCAGCAATTTTTTTTTTTTTTTGAGTGACACTCAGCACTCAGCAGATAAAGCCACAGCTTACAGACAAGTTGAAATCAATCAATCAATGTCACAATATCATCTGGCTCAGCAGAAAAAGAAAGCGCTAAATAAAAACAGAGATCAGACGAAGCAAAGGTCAACATCAAAGCGGAGTGATACGAAGCAGCAGAGAGAGAGGCGGAAGGTTTTGTATGTTCAAGTTGTCTACTGCAGCTTTAAGAAATAACTCTTCACACATATAAAACAAGAACCACTTAAATAATGATGTTGCTCTTGATTCCAGTTTTCTTGGAATCAGTCATTTAATTAACAGAAATGTCTAATTTTACTGATACAATTACACTAAAAGTCAATATAGCACAATATGAGGCACCTTTACTTTTCGCAAAAACTGTCAGAGAGTACCAGCAGTCCTGCAATAGATACAAGTCTATTCCAACAACTGCTGATCTGCCCTCCTGTACAATCAGACCTGCAACAGTTTGCATCCTGTGCTCATTTAGTTTGGCAGCTTACAGCTTTGCTTTGGTGAGAGGCTGGCCGGCGGCTAATATGCATACTGTGCACTTGAAATGTTGTGGGTTTATTTGACTGGCAAACTATGTCCCCCCCCCCCCCAGTTTTTTTCCCACTTTATCACAACCAAGCATACAAATAAATAATTTGCCTACACAGGAATTATGCAATGGCATATTCAGGCTTCAAACTGAACACAGTGGATAAGATCTTTCCTATACCACTGGTTCATAAAATGTTAATTCTGCTAACACTGGCGCTGCAAGGATCCTGTTACACATGAATGAGTCAGTTTGATCACAGCAGGTCAATGACAACGCAAGGACTATTCTGGACTGGCTGTCCATGGCACAGTGAATCAATACAGCTCACACGTGCTAAATACAGTTCCCCTCTGCAATAAAACAAGGAACTGATGCATAAAGGATCAAATTTGTGGGCTGCCCGGTTGTATTGACCAGATGGTGTTTTAACAGAATTATAACAGGTAATGACAGAGGACTGTTTTTGTAGACAATCCACAGGAAATTGCAGATGAGAAATTACTTAAAATACTCCCACTTCATCCCCGCAATCCTGCCTCGCTGCGTAGAAATGGCCTCAGCACAAGAGATCTAACCTGACCTGCTTTATTAGGCAATGTAGAATCGAGGAAATGCAGAGAACAGCTTGAGTAGTTGCATTTATAAATAATACAGTAGACTGACCCTGCGTTTGTCACTGTTTCTGTAGATAAATAATTGGGCCCAGGACAGATGAGGAACAGGAAGAGAGAAATTCATTTTGGCTACATTCAAGATTCAAGGAATTGACATGCTCAGCCTCAAAGTGTTTTCTTTTTTCTACTTTTTTTTTTTTTTAAAGGTCCAG